AGAGCGTGCAGTATAATTAGATCTGACACAAAAAGGACAGGTTGCGAAAAGGGTAGGTGGCTGTCGGAAGTCAAATCCACTGGTACTGGTAGTCTATACAGAGCCACTTCATGTTAATTACCTCAATGTAAAATATTAATGTGTAAGATTTATTACAATGCCAGTGATTTTGATTCGGAGAAGGGATCGGATGAGTTCCTCCTTTTAGAAAACATTCTGTATATATGCCCATATCTCCATGACAAGTTAAACTTGCAACAACAGACAAACTGGACTGCTTCATAGAGTAAACAGCAAAAGACAAAATGATATGGACTCCACCATTGAAGAGGAAGAGAGAAAGGAATGATGATAAAATAACAACAGGTATATAGCTAGACATCCATTACAATGTTGCAGGTGGTTACTGGACCAGAAGACAGGGTCAGTTCTGATTTGGGCCTTCCAATTGCTTGTTTGAGTTAATAATCTGGGATTGTCAGTTTAGAAGTAGCTCTGATAAAGTTGCGGGGGCTCATGTCAACGGCCAAGGTTATCACTCCACTGGAAGAGGTACCAACTCGAATAGATTTTTTTCTGGATCTTATAACTATTAATCTAGTTTAAAATCTGTTCATCATTAACATAAAGAAGTATTTGGAGAAAGGTGATAATAACTAGATTTCATTCAGATAAATTCTAACTACAAATTGGTACAGACTCCACCAAAGCTCAATGTGAGCAGGGTAAATGCAGCCTAGATCTTCCAACCTAGATCTCTAATAAAACAGATGCCCCTGTCTGTCTTATTAGAGATTTTGCCTTTCAGCTTAATGAAGGAAGGTGAATTGTTAGTGTAGGGCTCACCTAAGAGGTTTTGCCTTGACTTGGCATGTGAGCTTATACTTTAATGGCCATTGGAGTGTTACTAAAAAAACTCCAGTTATTTAAATATGCATATTGTATGCTTGTATTGTTGCAGATCACATACACCTCTTCATGGGAATGGTGTTCCTTGATTGCAATGGCCTCTTTCAGTAAGATAATAGACCCTGCCACACTGCAAAACATGTTCAGGAATTGTTTGAGGAACATGACAAAGAGTTCAAGGTGTTGCACTGGCCTCCAAATTCCCCAGATCTCAATCAGATGGAGCAACTCTGGGATGGGCTGGAACAAGAAATACAATCCACGAAGTTCCCACCTCCCCACTTGCAGAATCTAAAGAATCTGCCATATATGGATGTCCATATATTCATCCTATCCTTTTTTTTCTAAGTACACCCAGTTTATCTTCTGCTTCTTTTTTTCATATTTTTACCCATGATTCTCTATCCTGAAAATCTAACATCTGAGGGAAAAAAAGAAATACTTATTAAACTGTTCCTTAATTTATCAGTTGTAGGGAATTGAGAAAAATGTATTCCAAACCAGAAGAGGTATAAACATGTCCATCAGAGTTGAATTAGAGACTTTTCCCAGCATGGCAGTTTTGGTGTAAAATTTGACAGTCATTCACCGTTCAATTAATGGACTAATAAACATGCACAAATATCAGCAGAGGATATTCGGAAGATCACTTCAACGGTAGATACAAACTAACTGATCTAGATGGTGCCTCTGTGCTATGGAGCTACCAAGACCAGGTGGACCAATTTGTAAAGCTAAAAAAACAAGTTATGGACATGCATCTCTAAATGAGACTCACCTAGTGGATTAAATATACAAACTATCTGCTGGTACAAATAATGCCTGTTAAAGGACCACGAAAGACACCCAGGATACTTTATCTCAATGGGTCCTGTGGTCCTGTAGGTTTAGAAACTGCAATGTTTACATTGCAAGGTTAAACACACATCCAGTCATAAGACTGCAGCCCCTATAAAAGCATTGATTTAATGTTTTCATATGGGAAAATTTGATGCATGAGGAGCATTAAATCGGACTGACTCTATAGGAGGCCATACCTCCTCCATGACATCGCGGTAGTCAAGCATCGTCAAGGAAGCCGCAGCGTAACTAAAATACTATTTTTATACCTTTATATGGTGAACATCAAGGGTGAACTATCATACCTGGAGACAGGAACACTAAGGCATTAGGAATACAGATTTGTATTTTTAACACTTTAACTGTCCAGAATTCCTTGTGATTTGTGAACCCATTATCTAGGTGTATTTATGCATCCTAATTGTAAAAAAAATAAAAAATACAAAAATTAAGGTTTAACCCCTTAAGGACCAAACTTTGGGATTAAAAGGGAATCATGACATGTCACACATGTTATGTGTCCTTAAGGGGTTAATAAATAAAGGAGTAGTCGTGAAGAAATAACAAAAAATGACTAATTTAGAAAGAATCTCTAAATCAAAATATTCCAGGTCAACTTTTTTAACAATAACACCGGGACCTAGTTTGTTTCCTAAGTAAGTGAAACTATAAACCTGCAAGATTGTACCCAATCAAAATCCAAAGAACGCATGACTATGATAAATTAAAGCAATAGCTATCTGTTTGTGGTCCTATTCCAGATTAGATTATTGGGTGTTAAAACATTAGCCTTGACTTTATCCTGGTAGCAAAATGAAGGAAACCGCACTCACCAGGCTGCCAAGGTGCACTGAATCTGGGGATGGCCAAACTCCACGTTAGATATATGAAAAGAAATAGTGGTCCAGGCACTGAAGGTACTAGCCAAAAAAGCCGTTTTATTAGAGCAAACATACAAACAGCAATATTTCGACCGGGATTTTATCCTGAACCAGTCACATTTCCAGGGGCTACTGATGCCATAGCATAAATATATGGTGTAGGTAAAGTTCCATCTAATCAGTCCATTGTGAAATCTCACAGATATTTTGAATATCTGTTCATCTATTTAACTTTATCCACATACAAAGCATTCTTAATGTTGGATACTACACTTTTTAGCCTTTCTATGGAAGCAGTAGAAAATGCAATGTATCACTGTGTACTACCCTTTCTGTAAAATAGTGTGGTATTAACTCAAATTATCTCTGTTTTCCTACTTCCAGCGTGGTATCATTAACTCTAATTGGTTTGTTTAATGCATCAGAGTTAATGGTTTCAGTGGAGGAATTAGTAAAGATAGTTCCATGTATCTACTATCTCTTCTGTGAAACAATGTGATTTTATCTTAATTTCCATCTTTAGATAATATACTATTATTTGATTTTTATATACTATTATATATACTATTATTTGGCAATGCAATGTATCTACTACTCTTTCCATAAAATACTTTGGTAAAATCTCAAGTAATCCTTTGAATTTTCTTTTTTTAACTTCAAATCATGTTGTTAATTGTTAAATGAGTCTGCACAGACAGTTGTTCATTCTGCAAACAATAACACTATACTGAATCACAATGCCTCGGTCAAAGTTATTTAGGTTGTAGGGAGAATGTACAGCTATGAGAGCTCCATGGTGTTTGTATATGTTTGTATCCGATTGGGCAGAACTGAAATGCAGTAATACAGACTCCATTAACCCTTAATTTTATCTGACCCAAAATGCAATATCACACTACAATCCCTGCCATGGTAATAGGCAAATTATGGCTGATCTGAGCAAGTGAACTAATGATGGATAATAATGTCTACATTGGCATGTCAGCAAGTCTTTATGGATGTCTGAAAACAGGAATGGCAACAATATTGCCTTCATCTGATGCAAAAACATGATCGTGAGATAGGTGTGCTACAGTAAGAAATAAAATGAATGGCTCCAGTGAGAAGTGAATCTGCAGCATGCAAAGAGTTTCAATCTAGTATTTTCTCCAATAATTTTCTGCAGCTGTTTTAAAGCAGCAGGAGAAGCTGTTCTGACTGGTTTAGCATCGTGAGAAAGTGGTCTGGCTGGCTGAGCGTTGTGAGAAATTGGTCCACAACAGCTGACGTACAAAAGGTCACCCGTCAGTGTGCAAAGAGGGATCCTTGCTTTAACCTTAATACAACAGTGGCCAGAGGACAGCTTATTAATAGTAGGACTACAACTCCCATGATGCTGTGCCAGGCTAACTAAGCATTAATGAGCTGTAATTATAAAAATATGCTTTGTATAAAGCATCATGGGAGCTATTGGTCTTACAACAGTTGATAAGGTGCTTTTTGGTCACCCCTGTCCTAGTGTTTGGGATTCCTGCTCATGTCCTCCAGGGGCTGCCAGTGCCCTCCCCTCAGTCCTATTTGCCCCTGGCATGTTGATTGGTGCAGTGCTGTTTACCACTGGTATGTTGATTGGTGCCAGGGCTATTTTTCCGTGCATGTTGATTGGTGTCAGTGCTGTTTGCCCCTAGCATGTTGATTGGTGCCAGTCCTGTTTGCCCTAGCATGTTGATTCGTGCCAGTGCTGTTTGCCCCTAACATGTTTATTGGTGCCAGTGCTGTTTGCCCCTAGCATGTTGATTGGTGTCAGTGTTGTTTGCCCCTAGCATGTTGATTGGTGTCAGTGCTGTTTGTCCCTAGCATGTTGATTGGTGCCAGTGCTGTTTGTCTCTAGCATGTTGATTGGTGTCAATGCTGTTTGCCACTAGCATGTTGATTGGTGTCAGTGCTGTTTGCCCCTAGCATGTTGATTGGTGCCAGTGCTTTTTGCCCCTAGCATGTTGATTGGTGTCAGTGCTGTTTGCCCCTGGCATGTTGATTGGTGTCAGTGCTGTTTGCCCCTAGCATGTTGATTGGTGGCAGTGCTGTTTGCCCCTAGCATGTTGATTGGTGTCAGTGCTGTTTGCCCCTGGCATGTTGATTGGTGTCAGTGCTGTTTGTCCCTGGCATGTTGATTGGTGGCAGTGCTGTTTGCCCCTAGCATGTTGATTGGTGTCAGTGCTGTTTGTCCCTGGCATGTTGTTTGGTGTCAGTGCTGTTTGTCCCTGGCATGTTGATTGATGCCAATGCTGTTTGCCCCTAGCATGTTGATTGGTGTTAGTGCTGTTTGCCCCTAGCATTTTGATTGGTGTCAGTGCTGTTTGCCCCTGGCATGTTGATTGGTGCCAGTGCTGTCTCAGACCCCTCTCTCCCTCCCCAGCAGTGCAGCCCGGACCTAGCGTGCGAGCTCTGGGCGTGTACCAGGGGGCGTGCCAGTCCTGTCTCGGGGGCTCCTCGCCTTCCCAGCCCCAGAGTCCATAGTTCGCAGCACACGGAGCTCGCTGTCCCCCGGTCCCGCTCCGCACAGCTCGCCAGGCAGGCTCCCCTCTCCGGCCATGGATACACACTGCTCGCTGCCCGCAGCCCTGCTGCTCTGCTTCTTCCTGTGGGACATACCCGGCTTCCAGCAGGCATCCATCCCCTCCAGCCAGCTGCCCAGGGCGGCCAGGAGGCAGCCCCCCATACACAGCCAGGAGCCCACCCAGCGATGGCCCGTGGTGCCCCATGATTACATGCTGTCCATCTACAGAACTTTCTCCACTGCGGAAAAACTGGGCATCAATGCCAGTCTCTTCCAGTCCTCCAAGTCTGCCAACACCATCACCAGCTTTGTGGATAGGCGTCAGGGTGAGTGAGTAGTTTGTACTGGGGGTCTGTGCCGGTGTAGGATTTGGAGGTACAGTGCCGTGTATCTAGGTACAGTGGTACAGTGCCATGTATGTAGGTACAGTGCCGTGTATGTGGTACAGGGGTACAGTGCCATGTATGTAGGTACAGTGCCGTGTATGTGGTACAGGGGTACAGTGTCATGTATGTAGGTACAATGCCGTGTATGGAGGTACAATACCTTGTCTAAGATATGGGGATACAGTGCCATATGGAGGTACAGTGCAATGTATGAGGTATGTAGGTACAGACAGTGCAGTGTATGGATGTACAATGCCTTGTATAAGATATGGGGGAACAATGCCATATGGAGGTACAGTGCCATGTGTAGGGTAGGGAGGTACAGTGTCATATATTGGGTAAGGAGGTACAGTGCCATGTATGGGGTGCAGTGCCATGTATGGGGTAAGGAGCTACATTGCCACGTATGGGTTATAGGGGTACAGTCCCGTGTATGTGTTATGGGAGGTACAGTGCCATGTGTGAGGTATTAGGTTATAGTGCCATGTATGAGTTATGAGGGTATAGTGTGCCATGTATTGTGTATCGGGGTATAGTGCCATGTTTGGGATATGGGAGAGCAGTGCCATACATTGGGTATGAAGGTACAGTGCCATGTTTGAGGTATGGAGGGCAGTGCCATACATTGGGTATGAAGGTACAGTGCCATGTTTGAGGTATGAAGGGCAGTGCCATACATTGGGTATGAAGGTACAGTGCCATGTTTGAGGTATGGGGGGCAGTGCCATACATTGGGTATGAAGGTACAGTGCTTTTCATGGGGTATAGTGCCTTGCATGGGGTATAAGGGTACAGTGCCTTGCATGGGGTATTGGTGTACAGTGCCTTGCATGGGGTATTGGGGTACAGTGCCTTGCATGGGGTATAGGGGTACAGTGCCTTGCATGGGGTGTAGGGGTGCAGTGCCTTACATGGGGTATTGGGGTACAGTGTTATGGATAGGTTATGGCACAATGCATGGGGTACATAGAGAGATAGATTGTAACTATATATTTTATGCTGGCATTGGATGTACAGCCCAAGGCAATATGTTGCCAGTTTGCTACCCTTGTGATTGTGTCTATTGTTTTTCGTTCACGAGTTTGGATGACCATGTGTAAAGGCTCCGATCTGATATGTTCTCAATAATTGGTGCCAAAAGAAAGAAACGGTTGTTTTGGGGGTAAAACTGCCTGAATTTGGGTTCAAGGCACCGAGAAGTGTACAGATAAAGACAGACACAATCATTTGAATGGAGGGAACAGGAGTTATTTGTTTTCTAATTCTGTTTTGTCAGAGATAGAAGAGAATCCTTATTGTGTCCAGTCCTGGTTTAAACAAATACTCAGTTCCCAACAGAATGAGGGTAAACATTTACTGAGCTGTATTGTATCAGAGAACTCTGCTGTATCAGGAATCCATGATCCTGGGGTACTCCTCCAAAAAGGGGGCTCTCCCTCCCATGATTGGATGGTGGAGTGCAGTCCATGATTACTCCTTTTTATCTGAAATACTGAGATTTGGAACAGCAAAGAGCTTACGTCTGTCAGCGTTTAGTAAAATACTGCGTTTTATTGTATATCACTTCAGTGTGCATGGTGTTCTCTTGTGAGATACCCGAAGCCTAAAGCAATAGCTGCATTGTAAATTTGATTTACGAGCAGTATTTCTTGGAGATAGTCCCATTAAATAACATAAAAGGATGTAACCTGGTCAACTAAGATTGCCTCAAATGTCCCCAGGGTAGTTTTTTTTTCAGTTACTGTAATCCCAGCTCTGCTGTATCCCCCCTCTAAGGCTCAGTGATGTGAAAAAGAGAGAAAAAGGGACACTTTTGGGTGAAATAAAAAAAAACCCACAGTTTAAATGCCCTCCCCCCCCCCCTTAATCCCCAAGCAGTGGGTTAATTGACATACAGCCTGTCTATCATAAGATTTTTCAAAGAATTGGGATTGATTTTAGGTAGAGATAGTGCTCCTTAATCTGTACACCATTGACCCCATGATTAAAGGGGTACACCATTCCAAGCTTTTTTGTTAACACATTTAGATCCTACATGGGGCTTGTACATAAAAAGTAAAGTGTCAAATTATAATATTTCTAGAGGTAAAACCTGCTCAGCTGTGGTTTATGGATTCATTATTTGCTGATAATTTCGTTTTAGCAAATTATTTATATTTATTGTTCATTTTAGGGGCGTTAAGATGATGCTGGGATTTGATTAACCTACTTTTATTTGTAGTTGTGTGAGCTATTTATTCAGTCCTAGCCTCAATTATTAGGGAAAAAAACAAACCACACCGTCCAAACTTGTTTCATTCTTTTTGATCTGCAGAAATCTTTTCTCTTACAAGAGGGAAAAATGAGAGACCTTTAGCCTTACACTGTGTGATTCTCACTCAATTTAAATTTCATTCATGTTCTAACAAATACCATTATCGCTGTGTGGAGCAGATAGTTCATTTATCCTGTGTGTTTTCTGTTTTGATGAGAGCGAATTTATCTGTTTGTTATGGAAACGAAAAATCGAGAGAGCGAAATATGGTTAATATTCCTGCTAGCTATGTACTAAGCCGTGGAAAGTTAGGAAACAGATTTTTTTTTTTTTTTTTTTAAAGAAACCTACTAACTAGATCTCTCTCTGATATGCCCAGCTTTCCAGCTGACGCACAGACTCGCGGTGTAATAAATCGCTCGCAGCTTTATTCACTAAAAGGTGAATTGTGGTAGTTTAATAATATTCGATTTGCAAACTTCAGACAAAAATAGCAGCGTTGCATAAAATGTTCAAATTAGGTGTTTTATTTTTTTTGTATTTTTTTTTTGTTAACTTGTTTTTGTCTCTGCTGTTTTGGTTTGGATTTTGCAAATCGGTCACAGACTCATTACATCTCGCTGCCTGGTACATACTAGAGAGAAAACTAGATTATACTATGAGGAAAGAGGGGATGAGATAATAAATAGGAAAGAGAGAGAGAGAGAGAGAGAGAGAAGGAAATAATGAGAGAGAGAGTGAGAGAAAGAGAGAGAGAGGGGGAAGGAAATAATGAGAGAGGGAAGGAAATAATGAGAGAGAGAAAGAGAGAGAGAGGGGGGAAGGAAATAATGAGAGAGAGAGAGAGAGAGAGAGAGAGAGGGAAGGAAATAAAGAGAGAGATAATAGAGAGAGAGAGAGAAAGAGAGAGAGAGGGAAGAAAGGAAATAATAGAGAGAGGGAAGAAAGAGAGAGAGAGAAAGAGAGAGGGGGAAGGAAATAATGAGAGGGAAGGAAATAATGAGAGAGAGAGAGAGAGAGAGAGAGAGGCGGAAGGAAATAATGAGAGAGAGAGAGAGGGGGGGAGGAAATAATAAGAGAGAGAGAGAGAGAGAGGGGGGGAAAGGAAATAATGAGAGAGTGGAGTATGGGGGTAGAGAGAGGAGGAGGACAACATGTAACAAAAAGAGAGAGAGGGAAATTGGAGGGATAAAGATACAACAGGGGATTTTGAGAGAGTAAGAGAGAGAAAAGAAATATGGGGGAAACAGAATTTGAGGGAGAGGGACTGACAGAGAGAGTGAACTTGGGGAAGAGAGAGAGAATCTTGGGAAGTGAGGGGGATATAGGGAGAGAGCAGGCACTCAGTAAGAAGTTATACCCAGGGGCCCCTCAGGCTTTTTTACAGGCAGTAAAGAGACATCCTCCCAAATTTTCAAACAAATATAGAATATTCAATAAAACAGTAAACACTATAGTTTAAATAGGAATCCTATGTGTTTAATATGTTTTTAAAATACATCGATTTATTTTATTGAACATATTATGATGAAAGGCAGACTGATATGTAGATAGCTGAATTATTTATATCTGATTTTCTCCTAGACTCTCAGTAATGTCAATGATTTGATCTTGTTGTTAGGGAGAATCCCACTTGTTAAAGCAGCAATAAACCTGACTAGCTGTTGAGTATTAACACAGAGCTTCCATACATGGTACCCAGAGCTCCTCTCCCTTGCAGGACACTGATGGCTTTCAGAGCTCAAGTCCTCCCAGATTGATTAAGGCAAAGCCTCACTTTCTCCTTACTTGATTTTGATTTGATGTGTCACAGGCTGTGACCTTGTTTCGGACCTTCAGAGATTTGCTTTGCATCAAGCCACTGATTGGAGTATTTGAACTCATGATCTAATTGAGAATTCATGTCATAACACATCAAATGTTGTCTAGTCTCCCCTTCCATAATGAAAGAGACCAGTCACTGGCACCGCCCCAAATCCATCAAGACTTCCTCCCCTGTGAACTGCTAGCTTTTTGCCCACCTCCAATTTAATTGCTGGGCTGGCTGAGAACGATTCAGAAACCATTGCTGTCACCTCTCTTGCAGACACTTCAGCTTTCAAACCCAGTCCCAACTAGATACATTGTTATTCTCACTTAGAATTACATTTGTATCTATTAAATCCCACGTGATACATATAACATGAAATGTCACATAGTCAATTACTAATGTAAATTGGAAACAAACTCTTTATTTTTCCATCAATGAAAATATGTAATTATTAAATATTTTTTTTTTTTTAAACAATAAATAAATCTCGAGTCTCTAATTCTCGTTAGTCCTTGTGGGTTTAAAAACATTTTAATATAATTTTCATAAATTCGGTTCTGCTATATGAGTCTACTCACTAACCAACGAATTGTGGCGAATTAACACTTCGCACGTATTAAAATAAAAGACAAAAATAGCAGAATAATGAAAAAAAAACCAAATAAAGTAACGCATGTACAATTCAACCTGATTTTCGATTCCCCCCCCCACCCCCCCTTTCTAAACCTATTTTAGACACAGTTTTATAAGTCGGAATCCAGCTCACAAGAATAGACTGTTTAGAGGATAAACCCTTTAAATTTAACTCATAAATTAACAGTTACAGTAGATCCCATTCAGCGATTCGTTCATACTTTCTTGCACATATTATTCTTGTTCCCTTAAAAACAATTTAGAGTATAAAAGGAATAATATAAATACAATAGAGGCGTGGACACAATATAAGAACATGACACTTTGACATCAGGATTTATAAACAGGATATAAAATGACAGGATCATTTAAGGTTAACCCGACTTTTTCATTGCACAACCAGAACTAGTCCCTCATTAGTGAGGTGGTAGGGGGTTAAATCCCTTAAGGGCTTATTCACTAAACAGTGGTTTGTATCGAACAGTAAAAATAAACAAATAAATAAGTAAATAAAATGAAAAATCAAGATAAAATTAGCCAGGCTGTGACTGCAACCCACTAAGATTTTGTTATTCTCAAACTCAGTCACTCTGGTCTTAATTTTGCAATTCTGCTGAGAATTCGATGTTTAGTAAATGCACCCTATCCTTTGTGCCTATTTGTTTTCGTTTGCACGTTTACAGTAATAAGCTCCCTTTTAGGACAGTTTTATGGAGGAAAAAATGCTGTTTTCCTTTGTTTCAGTTTAAAAGATTGTAATCAAAACAGTTAAACAGGGGAGAAAAACTGTTTGTAGATTCGCCTGTGTTTCTTTTTGTGGTCGCACGATCAGACAGGACTTAGGTTTTTGTAGAAAAATTAGTGTTGGCACATGAACTAACTCATTAAAACGCAGATGGTGTTTTCTGGCCCTCAAACCCCCAGCATTGCAGCTCCAGAACATTTCTTGACAATTAGGACTTGGGTTAAGCATCGAGAAAAAAAAGAGGGGTGCAAGCCCCCCCCACCCCCCACCTTTGTCAAATTAACATCCTACATCGTTTTAAAAAGGTTCTTTCTATAGCAATCCAACCAAATAATATATAAAATATGAACTATTATTTTTCAGGATAAAAGTCTCACTTAGCTGTAACAGGAAATAAAAAAATGGATACAAGGTAGACAAAACATTCTTTACACAAAAATAAACAGTTAGCAAGACACGTGCAATTGCTAATCGTGGGCTTGTGAATAAAATAAATAATAAATTGTTATGACAATAATTTAATAATAATAAATAATAACAAAAAGAGAGGATAATGGGTGGAAGTAAAAAATAAAACGCTGTTATAATTAATTTATTTATCAGATTTAGACACCTGTGAGATACCCTTATAGAAAGTAATCAAGACATTACAGATGGTATATTTATAAAAAAAAAAAAACACTCTAAAACATATAGTGTTTTGGAAGCTATTCTCATTGGAATAAATGGCTGGTTTTAAAAATATAGAATTTTTATAGTGAATTGAATGTTGATTTTATTAGAGTGAATCTGATTTTGATTTTTAACTGTAAGTAAAACATACTTATACAAAAAAAATTCTGGGTTGTAATAAAAGGGTAATATAATTATTTTTTTCAATTATATTTGTTATTGTACACATGCATAATTAAAGAAGCAGATATCTATGTTTCTGTCTTACTGAGGTCAGACAGACAGATTTGCATTTCCAAATATCACCCCTCCTGTTCATTATTTGGTTACTTTGCCTATAAGGAAACACTAATGCAGACCAGAAGGCAAACTCTATAGGGAGTATATAAAGAGGTTCCACTCCACTTATTTAGGGCAAGAACAGGACACCTTGTGGCAATTTAATGATTAACCTTATTGGATGATGTGTTAAACAGCAAGGGGCCATCATTTTTTAAACAGATTTTTAAAATAGACCAATAGAGATGGATATCATGTTTAAATACAATGTGTATGTATTTATTTATTTATTTTAACACTTTAAGTTTTATTTCAGAAATGCAGAATTCGATTCTAAAACAAAAATCCCTTTTTTTAGTGAACAAATGTAGAGTGAGGTTGTTTTCCTATTGATATGAACGATCATACTCCTTTAGTGAAAAATGTAGCGAAGCAATGAGACAGCAGAATTTCAATATCTGATCAGATCGACCAATTTCTTGTCCTCTGAGTAGTTAAAAAATAAAATAAAAAAAAATATATATATACACACAGGTTACCAATACATGAATTTAAATCGCTGCAGATTGGACGTCCTGCAACATTTAACCGAAAATAAACAAGTTTGACAAGGGCATGACGTCACGAATTCACGTTAAACTCTGAATTTCCCAGTAGTGCTGGCCATTGAACGAAAATAAATAAATAAATGGAGCCATCCCCCCCCCCCCCCCAAAAAAAAAAAAACAATAGTATTTTCTAATAAAAATGTTGTCAAAAACAACACAACCACCATCACCACTAACTGTAATATTATTATTAATAATAATAATAAATAATTAGTTAAATTAGTATTTCTTAAACCAATCCTACTTGATCAATAAGCCATGTTTTAGATTATAAATAGCTAATCTAAATAATTTGACAGTTCCAGATCCCAGGAAGAACTGAGTAAACTCTCCTCAACCAGAGATATCGAACACTTCATGTGAGAATGTTCCTCTGTTATCAATCTAGATTCCATGGAGACTTCTAATTCAGTAGTAAATTGTGGTGAGGTTGACTACTGTGGGAAATTCACCACAGCTCACTCACTAGTGCAGGGAATGGGAACCTTCGGCACTCCAGATGTTGTGGACTACATACCCCATAATGCTCTTACACCCATAATGCTGGCAAAGCATCGTGGGAGGTGTAGTCCAAAACATCTGGAGTGCCAAAGATTGCCTCTGCCTGCTCTAGTGATTAGAACTCGTGGTTAGCTCACAAACTAGGCACCAATTTCAGTCACTAATGCGGTGTGTGAGACTCTTAGTCCCTAAAAAGCTGCCAAATTCTCTGAGGACCCATCCAATATCCAGATGTTCAGACCTTTGGACTTCTCCTGCGCAGGTGAATGGGATTTCCAGCGGTTGAGTCACTAAGATCCATAGATCAACCTCCCTAGTCAATAGGCTAGCTCTTGCCAGTGATTGCACTGTAGTTTTTAAAGAAGGGAAATGTGTGCTCCTGATTTACTGGTCTAATTCCTGCCAAAAGGCATCGCTCCTCCAGTGTAACAAGTCATTAACTGCAGATTTATGTGGCTTCCTAGGAAGAAAAACAAAAAAGGGGGAAAAAAGTGGCTGCTTGGTCCTCTCCAAGTGACTCTTAGTTTACAAAGTAATGGTGATACTGTAAACCAATCAACGAGTCATTTCTCATGTACCTGCTGGCCATGTCTGCTCATGATAAACCGCCCAAATGTCCTTATTTCTCCTCATTCCATCACTACACCATACTTGAAAAGCAGACACAAGTGCTGGGGACACTAATCCAGTAGCTGGGAGCCAGTAAGATCACTGCTTGCTCCCTTTTGTAAGGCACAGTTGAGTCATAAATAGTATACTATTTTTAAAAAAAATTAACTTTCTTATCTCTTCCACAATGGTTTCCACTGGTCCTTCAGTTACACTTTGCTGGCTGAGCATGGTTGGAGTTGTATTGTCCTACAGCTAAAAATCTCATCCATTTTCTGATCCTAATTTTTTTAGTATTTTGACTGCTTAGATGTCTCCAAATGGGAGCTATAGATAATGCACTCCCTCATTTTGAGTTAAATTGGTCAAGAGGGGGTAATAAGAGAGAGAAAATCCAAAATAAAGTGATTACAGTGATTAAAACACATCACTCATACTGTGCAAGTGAAGCAATCACCATGGAAACCAACTGAACGTTCCATCCTTAGAACTTTGTCCCAGAATTTCTCGTTATACATTATGGCCCAGTGCTGCTCTATGAGTGTAGGATAAAGATTCGGTTACTACATTTTGTCCAATAACCCATAAGGCTAAAATCCAATCGGTTACTTGAGGAATACAAATTAATGCTACTTTGATTTAACGTCTGTTTAACTTTCTCTTTGTTTGGAATAAAATGTTAGTAGATGATATTGCAAAAAATAAATAAAAAAATCTCAATCTGAACAAGTCTGTCTATTTTCTTAGTCTACTGCTTGCATCAAATGAATGGTTCACAAGGTCTGTTAACAAAACGTTTTCTGGTGTACCTCTTTACATGTGGTTTAAAACAGCTTCCTTTACTGGCAAATTATTCTTGAAAGTGCGGTTTTGGTATAATTTAAGCTAAGATTTGAACACTGATGAGTTGGCCAGGAGCCCAGTACCTGATCTGCCATGAAACAGGAAACGTTTGGGGTTATATAGATCCCAAAGCTTAGTCAGTTCAGTGGTGCAGGAGTGAATGAAATCTGGGGGCATCAAGTAACTGTTAAATTTCTAGCCCCCCTCCCCTCCCCCAAACAGTTATATAAAGCCCAGGAGATGGTAAATCAACAAAACTACCGCTAAGAATAGGCCAATCTGTATAACGATGTCATATAAAGAGGTGAATATACCTGTGGATCGCTGCCAGAACAGGATCCAAATGCTTTGTTCATTAAAGGGTTAAAACCCTACTTATTATTACCAGTGCATAATAAAAAAAAACATTATTAAGGTTTTAAGGTTATTTGCTTATCAAATAGTTCCCCTGGGATTAGTATAGTTTTGGGATATTATGAGATTTTTTTAAACTTTATTTTATCGTTCCAGTCAATATAAATTCACAGTTTATTAAGATTTAAACAAGATTTAAATAAATACATCGATCAGGTTGATTACTTCTAATAAAAGCGCACTAATACACACAGAGTAGTGTGAAATTATTATTATTTTACAAAGAGAATACACTTCAAGTTTGAGTTAATGTATATGCAATGTCTATTGTGCATGTATTTACATTAATATTGCTGTTTAATAATTCAATAGTCTAAATTAATATAATAATAATAATTATACTAAGTTCATTCACCAAACAGTGATCTGTGATTGCTTGAGAACCTGCTATCATCTACATTTTAACCGAGCTGAAAAAAAACAAACAAAAAAAAACACAAAAAAAAAAACCACAGCGTTGGGGGGACTGGACGGTGCAGACTGGTGGTTTTGATGTAATAATAAATTAAGTTGTTTGTAAATAATAATAATAATAATAATAATAGTAATAATAATAATAATATCAGTAATAATAATAATAATTACAGCCTGAAAGTATAACATTCTATAATACTTAGTATTAATAAAATAAAAAGCAGCCTGAACCGATAAAGAATGAATCAGGTTTGAAAATGACTGGTAATAGGATAAAAGCAGGCTCTCCATGTAAGAATTGGGCAGATTTGAAATGAGCAATAATAGAATACAAGCTGCCTGCCCCCTGAGAATGAAACAGATTGCACATGAAAGTGATGCTGAGTAAACATGTAACTGTATCAATGAAACAGAACTCACAAATTCCTTCTCTGTGTCTCTTTTGTGTGTTCTTTAAGTGCCGAAACGAAAAGCAAATTTGAAGAAAGATTACAAGCCGAGACTTCTCTAATAGTTTAGTTTTTGTCTCATCCCTCTGTGCCCCTCCTGCCTGTTTGCCTTTTAAGTCTGTCAATAGTGGTTATGATTATACATTCCTGGGAGCTTTCTGGGCTAAGGGGTGTATGGGCCATTTCTACACACCTGCTGATTGCTCGCCCAGGGGGCAAGCTGGATTTAACCCTCACTTGGCTGTGGTTAACCTTAACTTGGCTGGATAGAACTTAGATGTATGTACACTGCTACAAAATCCTGGATTCTTAACAAATAGTGAAATATGTTTTGTTTGCAACTGGAAACCCATAACAATTACATTTTAAAACCCAACCTTTTGCATTGCTGCACTTTGCACACATGGATTTATTAGCAAAAAATGCAAACCAAATGTGTTACAATACAATCTAGAAATATTTACAGTTGTAGGAGGGAGATTGAGAGAGGGGGAGATGAGAGTGAATGAGAGAAAGCGTGAGAGAGTGATAGAAAGAACGGATAAAGAGGGAGATTGTGAACCACCTGTCAGGTCAAAAGAGTAATGATGTCTCTTTAAGGGAGGCGGGGCATCATGGGAATTGTACTTCACCTACACGTGAAGTGCCATAGGTAGCTGTCAATGCCCTACTCCTGCCTTGAGTGGCAGAAAATTTGGATTTAAATCGATCACCATTAAATGTCAGATTTTTGGTAGTGTCTATAATTCATTAAACGGATCAATGCAGGTATAAAACTCTCTAAAGTTAGATCATAGCCATAAATAAGGTCATTATATACAAACTAAAAAATTAAAATAAAATATTTATTAGCTGAGATCTACTTATTATACAGGGCTATTTATGGGTTCTGGAATATGTACTGGCCCATTTTATCCATCAGTTGTGTGAAGTGCTCTGATTGACAAAGTAACTTCTATATAACTTGTTATTTAAATAATGGAATCTGTTACATTGTAACTAGCAGTCTAGATAATACTAACTGTTACACTGTAACTGGAAAAGACAATGCAGTTAATGTTACAAAGTTACAGAAAAGGCTAACTTGTGTCACTCTGTCCAAGAAGTATATTTACAAATGGATTAATTAATTGTAATCAATTGTTTGTTGTCACAATTGAAGTACTTTTAAAGCAAATTCATTTGTAATCTTTCTAAGAAAATCAATACATACATTTACCATTCCTTTATTAACATGTATGCTGTGATTGTTCCCTTTTTAAAGGATTCCTCAGGCAGTTTTGGTGAATTGCTAGTACTGCTGCTAATATCTCTTTTAATACCAACCTTGCCATACAAACTTTTGTGTGATATTGTGATTTATTGTGCGTGAGGAGTGGGACTGAGTTTTTAGGATTTACATTTTTTTTTCTAAATTTAATTATATTTTGTCTAAGGCCCAACTGTTGCGTGGCAGTAGATTAATGTTGGATACATATCGCAAATTGAATTATTTATATACATATATATATATAATTTTAATTTTTAATTTTTTCAGTCTGCATAGCATTGCAATGAAGAAACTATTAACAGGGTTACTCACTAAATTAAGAATTGTGGTAAAATCAGAGTGAATTCAAAGTGGATCCCAAATTAAAGGCCAAAGTAACCGAATTGAAAGCATAACTGGCTGGGAGAATTTTTCTGGTTCAGCTATTTTGACTTTAATTTGAAATTTACTTCATTTACTTTAGTAAATAACCCTACAAGTCTATTTTTCCTCAACACTAAAAAAAATACATAACATCCACTCTTGTGATCAAGAATAGGACAGGGAAACTGAATGGACTATAACAAGAAGTTGTGGTGAGTTGAAACCCTGAAAAAACAGATGATATTTAAAACAAAACCCAAGATTCATCTCATTTGGGGATGTTTACCAAACATAAACATTCTGGCCTAAATTTTCCGAACTGGACCTTCTGGAGCTTCTTTGCAGCTGACTTTTTAATGAGCGAACACTCATGATTGCACTGATGCTATATTGTAATTCTCAGTAACTTTCTGAGGGTAATGGGAGGGGCAGTCCATCAAAGAGAGTTAAGAATCTCTCATAATTCCTAATCCCCCAGCTCTGTTGGCCGCATGCATTCCCATTGTGTGCCCAAACACAATCCTTTGGCATTTGGCACCTACAAACTATAAACTGTCAGTTTAGCTGTCATCATTATTCCGTGGGAAACCGCTTGCATAATGTAACACATTCATCCTGTTGCTGCGAAAAAGCAGAGACAACAGTGCAGCCCACACAAGTCAGCTAAGAGGTTAAAAATCACAGAATTATAACATCCCCTGTTGGCAATAAACTTTGTATCAGCTCCTTCACTCTTGAGGGTGTGGTGAAATGCTATAAAATTAATATCATATTAGGAGTTTTAGATTTCCTTGCAGGTTAGCCAAGAAAAGTGACACACACAAACACACGCACGCATTCATGCACGCACGCACGCACACACACACATTTATTCACTAGATAGAAATGGTGGGTTGAGGGTGTAAAAAAAAATGCAGTGGACCTAAAAGACTGTAAGGAAAATGAAAGGACTACATGGTCGAGAATTGGCATGAATAAAATAATCTCTATGTCTACATATTTTTAGTAGGCAGTTTTTATGAATGAAATGTTTTTATAAATGGGTACTGGCTAGCACTATACTTGGGGAGAGGAAGGTGCTATTAAATTTAAGGGATCTTGGTATCCACAAGCACTGGACCTAAGGAGTTGGAACCATATGTTTGAGGGATCTGAGATCCCCAGGTTTCACAAATCAGTACTTGATTATGGGTTATATTTGTAATAGCAAGTCCAATATTTTCCAAGACAAACCTAGCTGTGAAAAGGTAAGCAACATCAATTGCAGTATGTGACTTTGCAATCAGAGTGTGTTTAGTAACTACCTGAAGAAGTCTAGATCAAAGTCATATTTGCATTCTAAATTCCAAATTGTATTGATTTTAATCAAATCCCACACTGTTTTTTTAAAATACAGTAACTGCTCAATGTACTACTATCCAACTTGCTGTGTGGAGCAATATTTTTTTAAACAAAATTTCAAAAGTGGACTTATTTTTTTAAAAAGATAGTGCACTATAGACCGCAACCATGTTCTATTTTGCCTTTCCATGTACGGCGGTCTCTTGTGCTTTTTTTTCCCCCTCAAGAGTGATTTCTAAGCCGTAAGGCATACTCTGAGACCATTAATTGTAAGATATTTCTCAGAGTCATTGTGTGTTCTCCGGTGCCAGAGTTGGCGCTAGATTGTGACCACATTCTTGAATAGATAATGCTTGTAATCAGAGGAGGGCTGGCAACTTTTGAACTGGGTTGCAAGTACAATGGCCCGCACAGTTTGAAGGCCTGTGCATGCCTAAGAGATGTAGACTTTGTTTCCCATGATTACAATGCCACCAATGACAACCAGCATGTATTATGTTTGTCATAATCACTGTCTCATCTCTCCCTACTGTCACTGGCAAACATCAGAAAGGTGATCATACATTCTCATTCTAGTCTGGCAGCCTAGTCAGTCTCACAGTCCATTGGAAAATATCCCAGTAGGCCAGTCTAGGCCAGGACAGCCTGAGAGCACAGAGCACCAGCCCATATATAAACCCACATAGTGACGCCTGTGGACCTCTATTTTTAGTGGTGGGCTGCGGACCCCCTTCCACAGAGTTCCCATGTCAACTTACTTGTGTGCAGTACTCTATTGACTTTATGCATTGAATCTAATTCATATTTTTTACTTACTTTTGAAAATTTGAAAATTATGTTTGTGGCATAGATACATTTGTGGAAAAGATTGGATGCCAAGATTTGAAATGGAATCTTAAATGATGGTAGTGTGATAATGGACAGAGGATGTGATGATAGGATAATTATTGGTAAAACAGTAAGGCAGATAGCAAGGATTCAGTATGGACTGTAAGAGGGCTAAGATCACGTGGGTGGTTTCTTGACCCACGACATCAGTTGAGCTTAGACTTCATCTTGTGTTAGTAAAGTCCTGTAGGTAAGGGCCAAAATATTGATGAGCAATGTTGATCCTAACATGCTGGTATATGCCAATATATTCATTTTTTTTTTTTTAGATATTTTGTTTTAGATAAATTGTAAGACTACAGTGGGTGTCAGTGGTTACGTTACCGGACTCCCTAGCAAATATTTGTGTTCAGACAATTTGATAATAAAATATAACAAACATGTAAAACAATATTTAAACTATAAGTTGGTTCAGAGTATGAGAGATTTTATTTATTCACCTATGATTTATGGCTAGGGAATGCTCAGAGGTTTTCTTTATCTATATCATCAATAGGGCGATTATGTAACCAATGGATGTAACTAAAAATGCAGTGCACTCACTTTTAAACCAGCTGTAGATATTAGAACTTTCTAAACAAGCTCTAAAGCTCATAAAACCTAGGCACAAATATGGAATTATATTGCAAAAGCCTGAAATTGCTCTAAAGTAAATTTTTAGAAGCTCCTAACCTATTGATTATGCCACTTTCTGGTATATTTATCCCCTATGGTAAAATAGACAACCTTTGGCACTCCACCTGTTGTGGACTACATCTCGCCGGATGCGTTGCCAGCATTATTATTATTATTTTATTATTTATATAGCGCCATCAGATTCTGTAGCGCTGTACAAAGGGATGACTCTAAAAGCGTTGTGGGAGAAGTAGTCCAGAACAGCTGGACTGCCAAAGGTTTCTTACCCATGTCCTAGGGCTCACTCTAATAAAAGTTCTCTTTAATGACCTGTAAAGGAGGTAGGGGGTGCTACAATATGGAGCTGGTCAAACGTCCTATATAATAGAGGAATATAAAGAAAATATTCTTACATTGCACTTGAAGTTCATAATTCATGCTGTTGACACTTGAAGGATTTTTTGACAGCTAACCAACTTTATTTAGCTGTAAACTTCATCTGCTATTGATTAGGCAAACAAGCCAAATTCATGCTAACAGATATGTGTAATGAAATTTAAACATACTTAACATATGCCTTTCCCTATTTCTTTTCATAACATTTTTATTTTATATCTCAGAGTTTCTTTGCAATAATATGAGGAATGTTTGGATTTCTGGATTTACAGTACGATTTAAGTACTTAATACACTTGGGAGGTATATTAATTAAAGTATCAGAATGGCGAACAAATAAAAAGCAAATTTCTGCATTTAGTATTTATTAAACTCATATATTTTTATGAGTCTTGTGCTATTTTCTGTGTCAGGGGACTTTAATAAAAGTCTCTTCTATGCAGATGTGAACAATACATTTTCCAGTCGTTTCTATGTATTTAACCCCTTAAGGACCAAACTTCTGGAATAAAAGGGAATCATGGCATGTCACACATGTAATGTGTCATTAAGGGGTTAAAGTTCCCATTAATACTGCAGAAAAAGATCAAAACTATGCATTGTGTTTCCCTTTAAAACATATGGCAAACTATTCAGTAATAAAGTCTTATCTAGATCTTGCAGTCTGTCCATCTTTCAGTGTCTGTCTATCTATCTATATATCTATCTGAAACCTTATTTTCTTAATGTCATTTGTTAATTATCTCGTGCAGAACCAGGACGTAATGGTACACTCCTCCGCCGCCACGGCCCCATTTTAATGCCTACCACTAATCTCAGGCAGCACTGGAATATGTATGTCCCAATGCTGTGTGTATAGTAAAAACTTCCCTTTAACCTCTTCACTAGTGATATCCCGAACGGTTCGCCGAACGGTTCGTCACGGACGGCGAACATAAACATAAACTTTGACCCTGTACCTCACAGTCAGCAGACACATTCCAGTCAATCAGCAGCAGACCCTCCCTCCCAGACCCTCCCATCTCCTGGACAGCATCCATTTTACATTCATTGTGAAGCTGCATTCTTAGTGAGCTGTCCACAAACAAACATACACACAATCCGCACAAACTTAACACCACTAACAATCCACATACATGCACACAACCCCACATGCAGCCTCTCACATGCAATACCCCAAACAGCCCCATACATACACACACTACCAAACACACAATGTGACATATCCATCCACACACACAATTCCACAAGCAGCCCCCATACACAGCCCACATTCATATGTATCATACACGATACCATAAACTACACCTGAACATATACAATATAATAGCTCAAATACGCACAAATACAACGATACAAAGCAATTACAGTAAAAATAACACAAGCAGAATACGGCAGCATACACACCTCACTTTAAAAAAAAAAAAAGGAACGGCACGCTACGGGACACCACAATCCTATATTGGCACAGTGCTGCTAAAAGGTTGCCTACCCCTGTTCTAGTACATTATGATTGTTTTTGCTAGTTTGCACCTACGTCTTCTAATATCACATGGAAATCAGGAGACAATCCACTAAATGCCAACTATTCTCCGGTCATGTGCAGAAATTTCACAGCCGCAAACCGTATTATCATCATCATCATCATCATCATCATCATCATCATCATCATCATCATCTTTCATGCCAGAGAGAGAGGCATTATACTGGGTAAATGCACGTCTCCTTCTGTAGCCGCTAGACCACTGGGACATGACTCAAATTCCCCTGTGAATGAGACTCTTTAGTCTCTCTCTGAAAGGGGATAAATACAAATAGAGGGGAATAAATACCTTTTGGCCCCTCAAGTGTGTCTGGGGTAGGGGCCCTTCCAAACGGTGGGCCTGATGAGCATGATGGGTATAAAGTGGTTGTGTGGAAGAGCCCAGCCATCACATTGTGTTTTAGCATTAAAGCTGAATACCACATGTCATACATATACCTTATGTGTATTTTTTTTTATAATGATGGTCTTTTTTAATCGACAGACAGTTTATAGGGAAATATGAGCAAGACAACAACCATACAGTGCTTTTTTTTTTTTTTAAATTGATTACACTATTGCCACTTATGAGTAGTAGGTCTCTTTTATGCTTTTATCTTGTTGATTTCTGATGCCAGTAATGGACTGGGCATAGCTCTAGCTGGTGATTTGACACAATTAATGCCAGGGAGCTAGACAACATCCTGGCACAATAGTGAAACAAATGGAAGATGGGCATTCAGCTACAATAATAAAACTGTACATAGCGAAACATTGCGACACATTACCGACTTATTTAATGTATTTAACAAATTAATTTAGACCTTTTAAGTACCGGTTGATTGAGGTAACACTGGATATGTTCCAGATTTTCAAATGTCACCTTCCCTTTAATTCCCCTGTGACCTCAGTCTGAATTTGTGAGTTTGTTTTCTTAATCATTTATATTCAGCGGTGACATTGCACCATAGCCTTGTTTAACCTACTATGTGGTGGTCATGGAGGGGTTAACAGGTCGTATTGGCTCAGTGCCCTAGTTAATCTTGGTTGACATGCTGCACAACATCAAGGTGCAGCCTACATTCTTTGGTGATGAATTCTGTATGGTGCTATGTACAGTATCCTCCAGTGCTATTGATATGTGGTTGGTGTTTATTGGTCTAAATGTACAAGATTCCCCCAGGCTGGGTCCTCAAAACTGACAAGCTGTGCTGTAACAGTTCTAATATTTTTTTTTTGTTTCCTGTGAAAAAAAGATTGCATATAAAATCAAAATACTCTTCATACACAACTGTGCTGCATTGCAGGAGATACACATCCTTTGTGCAGAACAATATACAATTCTACATGCCTTACTATGACACTCCACTGGTTGTAGCACCTCAATGCCTACATACAGTCTAAAAGGCATGTATATTCATGAAATTGATTGGAGGGGTACGTGGAAAAAAAGGCATACTGTAATGGAGCTGAAAGAAGTAAAACAAACCATCTGATGCCCAAGGGGATGTCCCTCACTCCTCTATTATTCTAAAACTGTCTATAATGGAATAGTCTCTTAGCATGCTGTGAATCAGCTTGCCATGCTATCAGTTCTCATGCATTAGCTGTTTGTATATTTTCTGGTGTAAACATTTTTTGTTCAAGGAATCTCATCCTTCGACCCCCTCTTCCTCCTTCCCCCCAGAGGCGTTGTGTGTACTCTGCACTCTCCTCTTACTCTCTGTCCACAGTTATGTGAATAGTCCATTTCATGAGCTCTGAATATTTCATAACACAAAAGGGCATGCGTGTTCTAAAAACGTTGACAGTGTCTTCAGTAAAGAGCAATAATGCAGTCCCTGTGTAGTGCATTTTCTCAATGTCTTTGCATCTCACTCTGCTTTCTGAAGCCTTCCTGTCACAAGATTCAAATATTTTTGGGATCCAAACTCATTTACCTACACAGGTTTAGGCATTTGAACATCACGTCTGCAACATTTAAAGGGACTATATTACCTATAACTGTACAGACATCATTGTAAATGTATCTCATTAGAATGAGGATATTCGTATATGCCATTTGCTCTTCCCAAAATCTAGAGACATAGTGGTTTAATCGTTTGTATTTAAAAAAACCAAAAAAAACAAACAATTTTTTTAGGTCTCTTGTTCAGACACTTAAACATCATTCTATTTTTTTTGTTGCACTTTGTATTGAATTGAACAAAACTTCAATAAAAAGTTAATCACACACAAAAACATTGTGAAAAGAAATAATAAAATAAAATTAATTGTATGGAACAGAAAATTGAAGTGCAAAAGTTGGAGAATACTTACAAATCAGCTATTGTTACCTAAATGTTTCCTAGATGTTGCAATTCTCCTTTCAGTTTTTCACTATAATGCATTGTTTTGTGAATAAACCCCGCGCTTATGAAATTGGTAACAGTATCCGTATACAATTCGCAATCAACTTGAAGTTTAAGATAAATAGTATTAATAAAATACATTGACGGAGCAGAAATAAGCATAGTCCGTTTATTGTTGTTTAATGACAGATTTGATTTCACAAATGGTGCAGAAATAGTTATTTCCATTATCTGTAACTCCTTTATGGCAAGCTATTAGTCAAACTCACTTATATTACGACAATCCTGAGAAGTCACAATTAAAGATCATAGCCCACACCCCCCCAATATCAAACCTTTTCATATATTGAAGGCTACAATATTTAATTTCAAATATGAAATATAATTCACTCTCACTATATGGCGACATTGCGTTAAGCCTACTATGACATGGTATGAGTTCAGTAGGTTCTAAAATAATTTAAAGGGACACTCCACACACCTAGAGCTTTTTGACTTGCTGAAATGCTTTATGTGTGAAGTGTATGTCCTTTTATTTCATTTTACAAAAAAAGTGCTGATTTCAATAGAAATATATCTACAGCCTTTGCAAGTTATTTTTAGATATACCCTAATAAAAAAAAATACTTAACTTAATGCATGCAGATTTTGATTGTGGAATATCTACTAAACAGTGATTTAAATGTTTTTGTATTTGGGTAGTGGAGTGTCCCTTTAAATATGGTGTGACTAAATGACAATATTATATACTATTATATATTATTTGATATATATTTTATATATTATATTATTTTTTGTATAGCTTTATAACGGAAACTGTCTATTTTAGGTGAACACAATCCCCATTTGTCTATTTTTTAAAATAACTTGGGATCATTAGAACAGCTACGCTATTAAATTATGCTTATTCAGGAGGGTGTCTCCCAAATTCAGTAGTTCTGTGAAAATATACATCATTAATGGGTTAAATGCCTATGGCAATATAATATTTTTAGGAAATAATGACAACAATTTTCATTTGTATTACCATTATTTTAATTTATTTCTACTGATAAAACATTATTATTAGGATATAAATAATCTTATGGTGTAAGGTTTTTGGCAACTTTGAGATCCAACTATTTTTCTTTTTGATGAAATTAACTTTCTTTTATTTCTTTTATTTTACAGATGATATCTCCCACACTCATTCCAAGAGACTACGGTATTTGTTTGATTTATCTACCCTGTCAGACAAAGAAGAACTGGTGGGAGCTGAACTAAGGGTATTTCGGAAAACTCCTATGGAGATAGTCAAAGCCCCTCAAGGTTTATACCACCTGCAGATATCCTCCTGCACATCCCAATCATTGCTTGATTCCAGGACTCTATACCTAAGAGATTCTTTAACAACTGGCTGGGAAGTGTTTGATGTATTTAAAAGCTTCCATGGCCTCAATAAGCAGAAGAAACAGCTCTGCCTAGAGTTAAGAGGGACTTTGGCTACATCTGGTATGGAGGTGAATCTAAAAGGACTTGGTTTGGGTAGGAAACCAAAATCGCACCAAGAGAAGGCACTCCTAGTGGTCTTCACTAGGTCCAAAAGAAAAAATCTATACAATGAGTTGAAGGAACAGGTTCATTCCTCTAAGGGTTTGGAAAAGGAAACAAAGTTTCCATTTAAAAGCAGAAGAAGAAGGAGGACAACTTTCAACAGTCGACATGGCAAAAGGCATGGAAGGAAATCCCGTTTAAGATGTAGCAAAAAACCACTACATGTGAATTTTAAAGACCTAGGGTGGGATGATTGGATTATAGCTCCTTTGGAATATGAAGCATATCACTGTGAAGGGGTGTGTGATTTCCCTCTGAGATCACATCTTGAACCCACCAACCATGCCATAATTCAGACCTTAATGAACTCCATGGACCCAGCGTCCACACCACCCAGCTGCTGCGTGCCTACAAAATTGACTCCTATCAGTATTCTTTATATTGATGCTGGTAACAATGTTGTCTACAAGCAATATGAGGATATGGTGGTGGAATCCTGCGGTTGCAGGTAGCAGCTGGTCTGGAAATGCTTCATGTCAAAGTGGAACTAATGGAGAAAACAAGGGAACTCAAGGACAAGAGTGGGCTGGCCCAGTATGAAGTTGAATGAACTTCACCAGGAGAGTGGGTTATGATGTCTCACATGTTTGGTGCACCCCTTTATTCTACCAGGATATCCCTTCCAATCACTGCAGAAATAGGCACTGCTGCAATTTATTTGAAAAGCTAGTCCAAACTTGCTAAAGCCTGCAAGAGCTCTAAATCCAAGGGAGTGAGAACTGAACTCAATCCCTTTTCTGTAAACATAGATTATTGATATTCCTCAAAGGGTTTGTACCATATCACAGCCTCTCCAAAAAGGAATGATATAAATGGCTTCTTGGTAGACTCAGAACTCTAACCCTGAAAGAGGAGAGCTGGCAAGAGTGTGAACTACCATTTATCTGATAGCAGTTGAGAACAAGAATTGTACAAGAAATGTCTCATGTTCCAGACTTAGTCAATATATTAGCGGAGGACTGAAATGTTTGGGGGATGGAGCCTGATGGCGGCACTTGGTAAATGACTTCCACTCCCCCCTCCCCCCTTGCTTCACATCTGATGGAACTAAGGCCATCCAGGTTGAGTGGTGGCCAGTCACGTCTGGGTAGAAAAGGATTATGTTGCTGCTTTCTCTGTTGATTTTTGGAGTGTACACAAGATGCAGTGACAGGCACCTGTTCAAACGGAGTCCATTTAAGATTACAGGAAAGCAATAGTCTGTTCTTTTCATGGTCTGGCATGCGGAGAGTAATGAAAGCAGACAAGCCTCAATAAAGTTTATCTTTTTTTTTCTTCCTTCCCATTACGCTCACCTTTTCCATTCCCAACTTTCCTGTTCACATTTACTAAATAGTGGATTGTATTGCATTGCCGGCTAACTAGCAAAGGCTTGGCCACAATACTACACAGGGTTACTGACTAAACTTCATATTGTAGTTAATTTAAATCTGGATGGCAACAGTGAGGCTATAAAAACTGCTCTTAGAATATTCTCCAACTCAACTGTAATCACAGTTACAGTTTTGCCATTTGGATTCTAATTTGCTATTATTTGGAGCTTAGTGAATTAAATTGTCAGGATTCTATTACCTACATAACAGGTTGTGGTGGCTGGAGAAACTACTATCAAACGTAGACCAAACTAGCAGAGATGGAAAAAAGCTCAGATTCAGTTTTTCTCAAATTAACTGGTTTGACCTCATTTTGCAGGGTGGTTCAAAGCTAAGTGACTGTTTAGTAAATACACCTCCTTCAGGATATAAAAAAAATCCAGGGGGGACGGGGGCTTGGCTATTTTGGCTTGCTTTTTTCAGATCCTTCTCAACCCTCCTGAACCTAGAAATCCATTCACCAAACAGTAAATTGAGACAAACTGAAAACCAGTTTCCAAAATGAATACAATCTCCAATTTAGCAAAGCTGGGGATATGTATTCTAGAGCTGCTACTAAGGCCTACATTTTGTGTCTAGTGTATAGACCCCAGGGCTCTAATAACAGACCACATGGAATCTTCAGTTGTGGTACATTGATAACTGACTTAAAAAACTGATATATATTCTCTCGTTCAGATATTTTCACAAATCTGTTTAAGCTTAAATGTATCAAGTTGGTTCCCCATGCAGCACATCTCACTGTTCATTGAATAACCCCTTAAATCTTTATCTTTTACCCCCTCCACTGTAATAATTTAAAACAGAAGGTAATTTTCTAATTTTCTAAACAGAACAATAATCATTGTCAGATGAGGATCATAGAATACAGAGACAGGGAGACAGAGACAAACAGACAGACATACGGACACAGAGAGAGATTTACTCACTCACAAGGCCTCTATTTAATACTCTTTAAAATTGATTCAATGCTCTTGACAAAATTTGTCAAATGAGTTCATAAATTCATAGACTTCAATGGTGGCTTCTGTAGCTAAAAATCTTTTAAAAAGTATGTCTATCAGTATTGAATCATTTAGAAAGTGTATTTAAAAACAAGCCTAAAATTTTGGTCCTGTTAAAATTTGTACAGAAATGCTGAATTGTCAGATTAAAATAGAAGAGGCCCCCAAAAATGATACAAACAAAGCATTATTCCCTAATCTGGCACTCAAAGTTAACATGTATTTATTATATATATATATTTTAATATTTTTGTTTTTACTCCCCTCTGAAAAGAAATACATAAAAAAATCTAATTATTGTGCACTTCTGAGCATGCCTAACAATGGATTATTTTACACAATTGCTATTTCAGTTTTTTTTGTAAATTTGAATGACTGCTATCTGGCATCACAAATATATAACGATAAACTGGCCTTAGAATATAAATACTTAGGGCAGTAACGGCCAAGGGCAATGATTAAAAAAAAATTAAAATGCACATTTTCTTTTAATGCACTGTTGTTCATGAAAAAAAGGATGTAAATATTTGTTTATTTAATAAAAAAAAAAAAGACTCTTCTTAGGACAAATGCAAATGAACAACTGCATTCTTCATCAAACCCTTTGTGATCCGAAACGTTACTCTGCCTCAGCAACAGGGGGTTAAAATACAAGAACGACATATTGTATGCACTCACAAATTCGTGGTATTTTTCTTTAAAAAAGTTTATATTTGAGCTGTACAGGGTAAACCATAACTCAAATGTTGCATTTCATTATGTTACATTTTTCCTAGTCTTTTAAGTACCAGGGGTGTTCCCAGTGCATTGCAAAGGAATGCTTTGGGCAGATCTCTGGCACTCAAAGGGTTAAATATTATTAAATCATTTGCTGTGCTGTCTTTGGATTCACATGTAACTGTCTACCTCACTGTAATTCAAGTAGAAATTTGCAAAGTATCTGAGGTAAATTAATATTCCAACCATTTTTACAGTACAATTTACTGGATAATATTCAAATTATTACCATATTATTAAACTTCCTTTAAAATAAACCAGTTTTTGTTTTGTTTTACATTGTTTTGTTTGATATTTGTAGACGGACAAGAAGATATCTGCACGAGAGTGTGTTTAAAATACCAGCCACAATTGATTAACGTTTGATTGTTTGTGCTGAGCTGTGGTTAACTCATTCAACAGAAAATTTATTAATTTATAAAATATTTACCAGGAAGGATACATTGAGATCTGTCGGGTTTTCAAGTATGCCATGGGACCACAAACTTTGCATTGTTACAATAGAGAACAATGTAATTAAAAATACAAATCAATATTAAAATACACATATACATTTAACACATATAGGTAAGAAATATAATCAACCATGATTACAGCTGTTGACAGGGATCTCTTAAAGGATTTTAGTGTGGAGGAAGATTGTTCATACAGATATTCAAACAGCTACTAGATGCATACTTTCAAAAACAGAATATTCAAAGATATAATTTTTCAATGTAGGGTAATAGCTGCTTGATCCAAGGATAAATCTGACTGCCATTCTGGGTGTCAAGAAGGAACTTTTTTTTTCTAGTTTGTTGCAAAATTGGAAGTGCTTTAAACAGGTTTTTTTTTGCCTTTTCTTGGATCAACAGCAAAAAACAAATGTGAGGAAGGCTGAACTTGATGGACGCAAGTGTCTTTTAAGCTATGTAACTATGTAACTATGTAATTGTATCCGGGAGGTTGCTCCATACTGGCGGTGCTCTGTAGGAAAATGAGAATCGTGCTATTTTCATTTTGTAATGCGGTATACGAAATAGAGTGCTGGTACTGGATCGGAGGTATAGGAGGTGGGAAAGGCTGGGGAGAGCGTTCTACTCAGATTGGGTGGGAGCTTCCCAGAAAAGCTCTTAAATAAAGGAGGATTGGTAAGGGAACAGCAAATTTTCACTAAAAATAACTGAGACATTATAGCCAGGGCCACATTTACCCTCTCTGCTGCCCCAAGGCCAGTTTCCTCAATGAACCAGAGCCCGTCATATATTAGAAGTTTGGTGTATTTGACTGGATGGATGAATGTTACTAGTTTAGGGGTATGTGACTGGATGGATGAATGCGAGTAGTTTGGATTATGGTGTATGATAATAATGACTAGGTGTTGGCTGGATGCAGGTCCGGACTGACCATTGAGCATACTGGGCAAATGCCCATTGGCCCGCGATGGCCATGGGCCGAGGACGGCAGGGTAGATCACAGGATCTCCCCAGATGGCCCATGCAGAACTAGCGCTATCCGAGCGCCGGCCCTGCTGTGTGCCTTCATGGGCTGATGGGGAGATCAAAGATCTACCTCACTTGCCCACAGGCACTGACATGCTGCCGCTGGCTGGGGAGGGAGGGAGAGAAGGACCAGGTGGAGTTCTACCTTGCAGCTCCGCCGGGTTCCTCTCGCGCAACGCTCAGATTTCGCGAGAGTGAACTCTACCCCAGGAAATGCAGGGTAGAGTTCACTCACCACTAGGACCACCAGGGACTAAAGCACGGCTCCCCTCCATGGCAGCATGGTCCCCCTCCAAGGCAGCTCGGCCCTCCTCCATGGCAGCATGGCTCCGCACCTCCTCCCAGGCTAAGGTAAGAAGGGAGGGGGGATATAAAGTTTAGCTTTTTTAATAAAAAAATACATATTTAAAATATTTACATTTTGCCCCCCCACCCACTCCCACACACAATCACTCCAGACATTCACACACACATGCACACACATACACACACACACACCACACACACACTAACAGCACACTCACACACACAGCACCATCTGACACAGCACCCTTGCACACACACAGCACCCTCAGACACACACACACTAACAGCACACTCACACTAACAGCACACTCACACTAATAGCACACACATACACACACAGCACACACACTAACAGCACACACACACAGAGCACACTCTCTCACACACACACACACACACAGCACACTCACACTAACAGCACACTCATACACACAGCACCATCAGACACACACACACACACACACACACACACAGCATACTCACATTAACAGCACTCTCACACACACAGCACACACACACTAACAGCACACTCACACATACAGCACACACACTCACAGCACACTCACACTAACAGCACACTCACACTAACAACACACACACACAGCTTACAGACACACACACTAACAGCACACACACAGCACTTACACACACAACACACTCACAGTAAAAGCACAATCACACACACAGAACCCTCAGACACAGCACCCTCACACACACACACACACACACACACACAACTAACACTAACACCCTCACACATACAGCACCCTCAGACACTAACAGTACCCATACACACACACACACACACACACACACACACACACACACACACACACTCACACTAACAGCACACTTACACACATAGCACCCTCACACACACAACACCCTCACACACACAGCACCCTCACACACACAGCATCCTCACACACAGCACCCTCAGACACACACACACATACACTCACACAGCACACACACATATATAATATATAAAATAACCCTCAGTGAGTTAACAGCCAAAAAACATAGAATGTGCGGGAAGATAAAAACACCCTCACACACACAACACCCCTCTTAAACACACACAGCACCCCTCTTACACACACACAGCACCCCTCACACACACATGCTGCACCCTTCACACATACACACAGCGCACCCAACAAACTGCGCCCCTCTCACATACAATACGTCCAAACATATATATATCTATACTACAGCACCCCTCACACTTAACGCCACTACAAACATTACGCTCCAGATATGATCTCCTATACACACTCTGGGTCCTTTACACACTAGATCCCCTACACACACACACACTGCACCACCTACACACACTACATTCCTGACATACAAACTCTGGATCCCCTATGTACACACTACATTCCTTGCAAGCAAAGACATACTACATTCTCTAAACACACACTCTCTAAAACCCCCACACACGCTACAGCCGAAATGCACACTCTCGCTACATACCCTATACACACTATGCACCCTATACACACATACAGCCCCTAGCCACACATATTACACCACAAACACAAATGAAATCGACCTATTTACACAATACCACACTACAATCAGCTCACTCTACACATATGCAATCCCACAAGAAGGCTCAAAACACATGCATGATACGCTTTCCTGGCCCTTTTGTCCTCTGGTATCCCACTTATGGAGACACCAGAGACAAGTTAAAAGCAAACACAGCGCAAGCATGTTATTAAATTTGCTTGCGTTGCGCAGAACAAATACAGGGCATTTTTTCATGCTAGAGCTCTTCAGCAGGGCTTTGTGCATTGAACCAACATGCTCACTTTGAGAGGAGGTGTGCTTGTCATTAGTGATGACAAAACACACTCTCTCTGGCCCCGCCCCCTTCCAAGGAGGGCTGCTGTGACTGAAAAATGCCCGGGACAAATTTTTTTCTCAGTCCAGTCCTGGCTGGATGGCAATAAGTGTAAGGTGGTTGGGGCCAAGTGTGTGAATGTGACATGGTGAGTGTGACTGGGGGGTGAGATGGGACTATCTGACTGGGTGGACAGTGGAATATGACTGGTTCAGAGTATGTGGCTATATGACCATGTGTATGTAGGTATATATTGGTGTGAAGTGTTAGTGACTGTATGTGAATGAAGGGTGTGCTTGTGTAGAGTGTTAGTGTGTGAATTTAGTAATGTGTTTTTTTATAGAGTGCCACTTTGTCCATGCAGGAGCATATTTGCGTGAAGTGTGGGTATACTGTGTATATGTAGATATTTAGTGTGCATGTGTAGGTGTGTTTGTGTACTGTGTTTCCAATAACCATCTGCCCATTTTTATCTTTCTTCATCCATTTCTATTCATTTATTTCTCCCTCACATGTGTTCCTATACCCCATTTCCCAATTATGCCCCTCATGCCCCTCTTCTCATAACTCTTTTTGTCTTCACTTGTTGTCAACTTCTCGTTCCCCCTTCCTTCATTTGTTTTCTTTTTCTTTTCCTTTATCACTCACTTGTTCCCCTCTTCTTTTCCCCCTTCCCTCACTTGTACCCCTTTCTCTCTTTCCTGCAATTAGCTGTTCCCCTCCTCTTCAATCCTACCCTTCGTTTTTTCCCCTCTTCTTTCCCCCTTCCCTCACTTGTACCCCTTTTCTTAATTTCCACTCCTCACTTGGTCCCCCCTTTTTCCCTCACTTGTTCCCCTCTTCTTGTTCCCCCTTCCTTCATTTGTTCTCTTTTTCTTTCCCTTTATCCCTCACTTGTACCCTTCTTCTTGTCCCCCCTTTTTTCATTATTCCCAGACATTATTCATTATTTTCATTTGTTCCCCTCTTTTCCCCCCTTTCCCTCACTTGTTCACCTTTTCTCTCTTTCCTTCAATTAGCTGTTCCTCTTTTCTTAATTCCCACCCCTCACATGTTCCCCTCTTCTTTTCCCCTTTCCCTCACTTGTTCCCCTCTACTTTCCTTTCTTCAATTAACTGTTCTGCTCTTCTGTCCTCCTGCCTCTCACAGTTGTTCTCCCATGTTTCCCTCCGTCCACCACTTACTCCCCTTTGCTTACTTGCACTCTTCTGTGCCCTCTCTCAGTCGCTCACTTATTCTCCTGTAACAGCAGGTATCCAGTAAAACAGGAGGATGCGTGGATTTGTGATGCTGACATCATCTTTTCACGTTCTCCTGCAGTTCATTCAGCTGCCTGTGGAGGGTGAAGGGGGAGTGAGAGGACATGCTCCTAGGGGCCTTGTGCGGGAACGTGAAAGAGCTATTTCTTTTTCTCATCCGAGACCTCCTTCTGTCCCACCAATGATACATGATTACAGCAGCTCCACCCCTCTCCCCCCAATCTGCCCCTGATAATAGCTGAATTGGAGAGTTTCTTTTTTTTCAGTTTGGTTTTTTTTGACCTAAAGGTTGCAATTTCTCAACTTTGC